TATATATATACACACCTACATTTCGAATGAGTCTTGCTTGGTGTGACCGATACGTATAACCAAGTCTCGATAGAGAAAATACGCAAAGACATGACAACTATAGCGAGCAAGAAAGCCTCGAAATTAAAGCGATCGTTCTCTTTCAATTCTCTTGTAATTAATCATCATTTGATTATAATAGCTGCATAAAATATACGTTGTTGAATAAAATAGCAATATAAATCAAATAAATAATTAATATCAATTTCCACATAAATATTTTGTATATGAAATCTTAGCATTTTTTTTTCCTTTTAATGGCTGCGTTCAGCTTTGTAACTGTTGTAAAATTCTTTAATAAGATTGATTTTGTCGTCAGTACCTTACGGGATTCAAATGTATAATAAGGTAATCATAAAAAAAAGAGAATATCTCGTAACAAAAAATTGAGTTACATATGAGATACATGGTTTTTCATACTGTAAATTTTTTCGCATATTCTCTTTATTTTTTTCTAAATAATCTCAAACGAGAAAGATTAATCTTCCTCCATTCTTACTCATCGATTCTTTCAATTCGGTTCTAGTGGATTACGGATGCCAAAAGTTATAAGTCATTATAAAGCTTGCCGGACGGGAGATTAATTTCTCGAGTTGCTACTATTCCTCAGAGAATACTATCTTTCCTATTTGTATAGCCTGCGGACCTGAGCTACGAGAAATTCTTGCACGTCATGAATCGAGTGTTCTTTTTACCAATGATGATTAATTTTTTACTATCGCAGCTCTAAGCATCGCTAAACAATCGTCAAAGACAACCCTTTTTTTTCTTTCTTCTTTTAGTCAAGTCGTTTACAGAAGCGCCCTGCCGGTCAACGGATGTCAACGGCGGGATGACACTGCGGCTTTCGACGCGGTTGACATAGTTGCTGCATGGTTAGCTTTGAACGGGACTCTCCGTGTATAACGTGTCCGGGCTACCGCTCGAAGTACAGGAGCGATGGACTCTCTCGTCGAGGATATCTCCCGAGACTAGCGCACGTGTTCCGAAGTGGTACGCGAACGCTCAAACACTCCACTTTACGGAAGAAGTCAAGCGGGTCTCTCTCTTTCAAAAAATTTGTACGACAAATCTCGCGTCCTCGCGGCGACTCGCGTCCTTCTCGTTGGAAGAAAGAAAAAAGAAGGAAAAAAAAAAATAAATAAAAATTCCGAACGACGTTCAATCACGCTACGTCAATACAGTAAGGCGAATGTCGTGTTTGCCTACGTACGTAGAAGTTTTGTGTACCGTGTCAAAATTTCATTCCATCGTAGACTTTTTCAAAAGTGGGTAATCAGAGATGAAAAAGCAAAAGTACGATTCAAAGTAGAGATATTAGATGTTTAATTATAAAAAGGTTTTACTTACTTGAGTAGTATCGAGACCATTCTGGTTTTGTCGCCTCCTACCACGTGGAGGTCTGGGGGTTGCCGCACCGGACAGATGGGTGCCCTGAGGGCTTCCCCCCCTGGCGTCGACCGCTGTGTTTGCTGCCAGGGTGGCCCCGTCGTTGTTTTCCGTGTACGTACCTAAATCCGCCGCCTCTCCACGGTCGCCACCACGTGGTCCTGTGCCCGTGGACACGTTCTCGCCCGACACCTCACCTGAAAACGAACACACACGAGGGGATATATCAAATTTCGATCCGCTTTTAAAAAGTATTAAGCGCGCGCGAGATCTTCGTCCCTATATGTAATACGCATCTTAGTCCGCTCGGTTTTATTAAGTTTTATGAAAGATTAAACCACATATTTCCAAGACACAAGACGCGATTTTAAGAAGCTATTAAGAGATTTCAAACGATCAGATGGTCATTTCAATGACCAGAGCAATGACCCTGGTAGAGCACGCTCAACCCCAAATTTAGACTTTTGACAAGAAGATAAATTCGCCGTATTTCAACTACATTTGTGTCTCCTCAGGATGGCTCGAGTTTCGTAATAATGTGGCGCGGCGGTCCTCGCATCTTGCGTCGTAAAGCTTTCTGAACATCTTGCCGTGTAAACGGCGTCTTTCGACACAGAGGAAATTTAGAATGAAATACGTTAAGAGAAAGAGGGATAATCGTATAGGACACGATTGCACACGGTGGCAATGCTAGCCATTCGCACGCGAGATTTACGCTCAATAAATGGCCTCCTGGCGCCATTATCTTCTTGATCAGAGACGCGTATCTATGGACGTAGAGACGAAAAACAGCGTAAAGGTGCGGAGAACGAAGAAAACCAACGGGAGAATCGAGGAGGTCACTGTCCACTGCGACTACCTAACATATCCAATAAATTCTTGTCATCGTTAAACGCCTGGAATTTTATGGAGGTAGTAACTCGTCCGTACCGCCGAATTTACCGGCTGATACGATCGGCCGCGATTAATGCAGCGATGATGCCAGCAACGGTGTCAGCAACGGTGCCAGGAAAAGATACGAGAACTTTGTATTTCTTTTCTTTTGCTCTTTTTGCGCGATATTTTACACTGATATTTTCATTCCAACAAATCTTCCTTGAGTGCAATTATAATTTCATGTGGCGTTTCGTCATATCAACAATTGTCCGTGACAAATATTTCTTAGATTTCTCAATTAAATATTATTAACCATTTTCCATAATAAAGTATAAGAGATTCTCAGTTAATTGATTCGCGCTTGTCAGATTTTTCAAAAAAAAGATATCCACAATGACGGAAAACAAGTGTGTATTAATCGTACCTGTACACAAATATTCTCGTAATAAAATCGACAACATCGGAAGTACACAAACGGATACTGCGATTATTTTTATAATGCGTCAAGTTAGCTCCTCCAACAGGCTCCTCAGCTTGGTTACTATCTCGGATTATATTCTACAATCCGGTTGTAGAAACGGCTTCGCGGCGTCGAGCGGAATACGGAGGGTAGCGATCGTAAAAGCCACTTCTATGACACTCACTGCCAAATGTCTTCATTATTTCGAGTTAAAATATTTACAGCTGCTCATAAAAATTCCATTAAGCAATGTTTGCTAGTAGGAAAACCATCGCCCTCCAAGAAGTGAGGCTTCGAAGATGCTTTCGACGCACCTCGTCATAAATGACATCCAAATATAGTTATAAAATTGGAAAGTATGCGGGCAACAAACATTATGTACGCATCGTGACGAATTCGCCATTAACAAGAACGATATAACGGTACATTAGACGACACATTCGATGGAAGGTTTTTGGAATATAACTTAATCAATTTTAAATTAATTTCCATGAACATCGTTGGCTGGAATGATTTGTGGACTGCTAAAGATTTTATATCCTCTTAATTACACAGTAAAACGGAGGAAATGTAAAATACATTCGATGAAAACTATAACTACAATTTAACTTTATTAAGTTGTTGAAATCATAACGTACCAGAGAAATATAAATCTCGAATTTCTTGAATATAAATTCCTATTTAACAGAAATAAGAAGTATAAGAAGAATATATTGACTATTATTTATCTCTTGGCGGATTCTATAATCATCGCGTTTCCGCGTAACAAGATTTTTTTTCACATTTTCTCACGATTTTTTTTGCGAGTTGGCGGTAGCGCTTCGATGCACAAACATCGTAACTTCAGGAACTTCCAAAGCAGGGAGTCATTGTTTAAAGATCATCCGCGTCTTGTTGTCTAACTTTGGCTTAACGATATTTACATAGTGGTGCAAAAATGATATGCAGCTGCACTCGTGGGATTAGTTAAGATTCGAACTGAGAGATAGAAATATACAGAAGAGTGTCTCTTCAGTTTTGCACAATTTTGTCACAAAAAAATACAAATATGTTATAAAACAATATAATAAAGTTAAACAACGGAATGAGATTTTCTGTAAAAATCTGATAAGGCGATGGCCAAATAATGTTATACAGATTTAGCTTAACTTTAAATATTTTATATTTACTCCGCCCCCACAAATTTATGAGCAAGTGGTACGATATATTACGCAATATTTAAGTATTTATGAGAAAAGAAAACAGATAAAATTAATGAATTTTGGCTTAAATCATTTTATTTTTTTCTTATACCTTCTTGCGAGTCAAACATTAATTGAGTTGTTAAATTTTCAAATGCGAGTTTAAAAGAGAGATTATAAGAAATTATGAAGAGATTATAAGGAATTTTGAAAAGAATTTGAATTAATATTTTTTTCAGTAATATATTGCTAAATATATTATTGCACTACATTTATCGTTTAAAAATATTACAGCTGAATAGTTTGCAATAAATAATATTCCCTGGAAAAGTCTGTCTGAAGATTTCGTTGCGTGCAAACGAGGGATGTTAACAGCAGCGAAATACCTATGGAATACTAAGAGCTACGTAAAGTCCGAGTGTGAAATATCGTAACGACGTGTTAAAACGAACTAATGTGCAGCGCACGTATCTCCCATGACACACCCGCTTCGTAAAGTCCGCGCTTCGAGGTTGCATTCGCCAATGCAACGAAGATGCGACGCTTAAATCGCGACACTTTGACGTCAAGGACAAAGCGATCAATTTATAAATTAAAAAAATAACAGACAAAATTCAAAACTTCTTTTCCCTTCTATTTCTCACGTCAGTATTTTTAGTTCAATTGCGATGTTATACATTTGGCAGAAAACAGAAAGTATAACGTGGAAAAGTGCGTGGGAAAGAAAGCGATGACAACCCGCTGCCGCACAAAAACAGTAGCTCGCTTCTTGATCTCATCCGATATATCACGTATCTTGAGATACGCGTGTAATTTACCGGTTTTAGTAAAGCTGCTTGGATAACTATTTCGTTCCTGGGCGAGACAGGTTTCCACGAGAAAGAAAGCCATCGGAAGACATTGAGATGGAACACCAGGAACTTATAGTAATCGCGTACAGCATAGTCATAAATTATCCAACGCGACCATGACTAAAATGAATTGACCTTCGAGGTCGCGTACGAAGTGCCGTCGCGTCGGGAATAAAACCGGCGGCCTCTCCATTGGACCGCTGTTAATTATTCCGGTGTTAAGACTTTAAGAAATTTCACCGAGCTGGGAATTTTTCCACGATCTCGTGGACGAGATTAGAAGCGGACCGGGCAAGTTGCGTAATATATCACACGATATAGGAATCGATCCAGCATCCATCTCCGGCACACAGCGGAAAACGACAATAGGACAACGCTTCCGCGCGACGCATTGTTCAAGGAATGACCTAAAGGAATGACCTAATTCATCAGCGTAAGTTCTCATACACTGTGAATTAACATATTTAATTGAAAAGTCGAGATACGAGCGGAAAAACACTGACTAGCAATAGTGTACTAAACTACATTGATAAAATTTAACGGACATTAAATTGTTTTTTAGTGTCTCGACATATTATTGATCAAATATGATAAAAATTGTCATTTGTGAAGAGCATTACGCTCCATTACACAGATAATAGATCTGTTTTTTATTGCTGCACTCTGAACCGGTGCAATAAGTTGAAGTGAAACAAATGTATATTTATTTCACTTCAACTTATTGCACTGTGTGTACCAGTTCAGAAAGTGCAACAATAAAAAACAGAAAACACGTAATATTTCAGAGAGAAAGAATTTAGTAAGTACTGCATCCGCTACTCAAAGTCGATGCTATTCAACTTTCCCCTTCATGCTCTTTTCCTTTTATAATATTACCTACCATAACAACGATAGATCGAGTCTCACGAGTTTTCGATCCACTGAAAGCCGGATGCGGGCGCATACACGGCGTTTCTTCCGCTCACAGCCTAGCTGGCCTCAGCAAGGCTGGCCCACCAGGCCCACCAGGCCCCACCAGGCCCATTACCCACATTCACTGCGCTCGTACTGAAGCGAAGCGAGTGGGTATTCGTGTGTGCATATATGCGTGAAGTATACGTGTGTACGCACGTCGTGTACGGACGCGTACGTCCGCATCCGGGGTCGGCCCGACGCTTAATGAACGATCAAACCCGGTTCTACGCGTCGCGCGGCGCGTAGCCCATCATTACGAACTATTGCAGCGAGGAACCTCGCCATTCCTTTTTGTCCTCTCCATTTTCATATGCCTGACTTTTTCCCCGCGACCTCGCATAGCTGCTGAATGAAAGATGATTCTATTTTTCCGCCACGTGCGCGAATCATCTCCGGGATCTTGGCAATCCTGCTGAGTCAAGCGAATTCAATAGTACCGCGAACGATCTCATCTCGTTTGCGAAATGAAAAAAAACGCTGGAAATTTTCTTTTCTGCCGTTAATGAAATATGTGTTGTGCATTCAATGGAAACATGTCATAGCTCTGAATAATTACAATTTTGTAATGAGAATTGCAAAATTATAATTATTAAGTATTTTTAATCTTTGATTAGAGAAACTAGACATTACAATAACATTACCGCGCAATTCACTTCTCCAATAATTAAATTAATCAATTCAATCAAATAATTTATCTCCTTTGACAAAAATTTATGTTAATAATATAAAATTATTTCAGAAGAAATGATAATCAGTTATCGTTCTGAAAAGCATGCAAAGATCATAACGTACGTAACATATTATACATTATCGTCATCATTAATTATTACTAGTTTATCGCAATGCTTTATTATCTAATTTATAGCTCATAATAG